ATCACTCGACATGAACACATGTTGTATCTTCATGTCCTGAAAGCTGATTAAGTTAAATTCACATTTGTGACTCAAGTATGAAATCAGATTTGTTATTTTTTCTGTGCCACTGTTCAGCCAAGCTACCTAAAACCTGCTGGATTAGAATTTGCTTCATTATTGGATCTTACATTTTGTTCAGAAAGCCACATAGCATTTGGCAGTGGTGGTCTGGACGATCCGATTTTGAGTCTGCCTTGACACTTGACTCACTCTCATCAGACACTCAGTTCCTTAATGCCAAGACCAAATGGAGTTTTGAGTTCATCAACAAACAATTGACCAATTTGTTTACCAGTAGTTATCAGTATGTTATCAATCAGTTGTATGAAAATGATCCGGTCACAGTCAGTGGTCAAGGTTAAAAGAGTCATTATTTGGAATTTGTTTTAGATCAGTGGGAAACAATGAATCCTATTAAGTCTGGGTGTTAATAAAATGGTAATTGTGATTAACCTGTTTGTTCCTATGGTTACAGGTGATCCTGACTGTTTACCTCAGTGACACCCAGCAGATGCTTACTGAGGTCCCGGTTACTCCGGCGACCAGGGTGATTGACGTGGTTGAATACTGCAAAGAGGCCGGCGAGGGAGAGTGCCACTTAGCTGAAGTATGGAACGGGCATGGTGAGCTCATCCGTTCATCCATCCATGATGAATAAAAAATAATTATTGATACCATTCATTGATTAGAAGCCTCTTGGAGGCAGCATAACATATGGTAAACACAACATATCAACTTTATAAAATTCATGAAGTTAATATAGCGAATGTGCTAGCAAGCACTAGCCCATTCAAACAATCAAGAGATCTGAAGGGAACTGCAGGATCTGCTGAGGATTCTTGTGGGTTCATCACTATGAACAACCCCTTTCACCTTATATATAATCATTTTTATCATTGTGAGTATAAAAACATTAGATTAGCACAGCTTTAAGAACCTTGATTTGTACCACATAAAGGATTAGTATAAGGCTTAGTAAAGCATCAACAGAAACTAGAGATAATAAAATCCAAAACAAGACACAAATATTAAGGACGGTAAAGAAAACTTGAACAGCCAAGCGTGCCCATTTATGCAGATGATACACTACTTATTTTAGACCTGTATCTGGAGACAGAATTCACCAGTGTTCAATACTATTGAAAGCTTTTGTCCATTGCTGTCATGATTCTGTCCCACCTGTTTACGTTCTTGTGCTTTTAGTTTGTTGTTTCCTGTTTTTGTTTCACCAGTTTCGGACTTTTTACTTTACTCACTCATTGTTTTCACCTGCTCCTGATTGTTTGCACCTGTTTTCACCGCATTATAAGCAGCCTTCTCCCACCAGTAACCTGCCAGATTGTTCTAGACTCCAGCTCTGACTCTCCAGCATTAATCCTTGCTTGACTCTGTAGTTTCTGACCCTGGATTTCTGTTTTTGACCACCGTATATTGCCTTCCCCTTCAAACTCAGACTGCTTCTATGTGTATCGGCTTATCAGACTTCCCTTTTGGACTATACATTTTGAATTACTTGGATGTATGTGTCTGCTGGCTCTGACCCTGGACTGTATTATTGACCTGTAATTGCGTTTCGTGTTTTCACCGTGTCTTGTATCATTTTTGTTCTTGTTAGTGCTCTTAATTAAGAGACAGTGTTTCTTTAGTATCCTCGTCTGGCTATGTAATAGAGTTAACCCACGACAACATCAGCAGCTTCACGCTCCGATCCTGACAATTACAATATGTACAGGATAATAATCTGAAATGATAAGACAGGGCCAGCTTGACTTTCAATCACTTGCTTTGAATTTTAAACAAAGTCAGACCTCTATCAGCCTGTGTAATCAATAGCTTGCTGAGTGCTTCCTGTGTACTGTATGCCACATTGAAACTGAATAGACCAGTCCATCACATGCAGACACTGAGAGCTACTGTGTCCATCAAAGCACGGCATACATTCAGTCGATCATAACTGTTGTAGCAGTGAGCCACATAACAACACAGTGTGTTTGTGTAGCACTGTGGTGTGAGTGAGCGTTCAGACAGGCTATAAATGACACTAATGCTACACTGTTCTCCAGAGGGTGACTCTACAAAGAGGCACATAATAAATGGTGGTATGAATTGTGTTAAGTCAAAGTGTTGCTAGGTGATAAGAGGCCATAAATCAAGGCCATAACTGGCCTCACAGCTAGTGTGTGTGTGTGTGTCTGTGAGTGTTTTTAGCTTTAATATATTGATGTATTTTGTTGTGAGAATATTGTTTTCATTTTTTCTGTATTTTTCTGCTTTAATTATATAAATATGTAAACATCCTCACAGAGAATTGATATGTTTGAGTTACAAATACAAAACAATATTAGGTAAGTGTCAGCCGTTACAGACACCATTTTACAGATAGATTAAGTTATTAAGTGTCAGTCTCACATCAAATTAACTAATTTAACAGGTTTTCATTACACTGTTCTTCAGTGATCTATTAAGGTAGTATCAATGTCAATAGTGTCAATGTTTACAATATACACGTGTCATTAAAAATCAGCCTCACATGTTTTGGTATCTTTGAAAACTTCATGTGATGTAGGACTTATGGAATAATTTTCTTTTGGTTAATGTCCACCATCAGCAGGACAGTGGGACTGAAGACATTAATAAATTGAAAAGGGGTAGAATAATAGAAATATAAAATTATAAATACATGATTTAAGTAGTAATTCTTTTACTGTTGGAGGTCAAAATAGCTTAAACATCATTGCATAAAAGCAAAGTTTTTAGAAATGTTTTACTAGATAATACCATTAAGGCAGCATAAGACTGCAGTTAAGGAGGAAATATCAAACTTTTTCAAACAAGCGTTGTAATTGTTGACAGCAAATATCAAAATAACTCTGTCAAACCTGGCTATCATCCTTCTGTCTCTTGTCAGAACGAGCTCTCCCTCAGGAGCTGCTGTTGTTGGATCTCCTTCAGCAGTGGGGGGCCAGGAGGCCAGAGGTCAGCTTCTACCTCAGACACTGCCCCTCCTGGGTGCAAGGTAAAACAAAGCAAATGCAGATTCTATACGTATATGGTGATTCAACCAAATATATGAGAAAAGAACAGGTTTCAGAAGGATTTAATTTTTGTCAGTCTGGCGCAGCATTGTATGGAAAACACACAAACACAGAGCTGGTGCTGAGCATGAGGTTTAGAGCTGAGGTCAGGGGCTCAGTCAGTAATTAGCCAGATAAGATGATTAGAGTTACATAACAAAGATGAGGGGGAGGGGGGCAGAGACAGGGACAGCAAATGCTCAGTATACTATGGAAATGACCAGTGAGGTTCTTTTTCATTTGCTTAGTGCCTAACAGAGTTTGAGCAGACAGTTGGTCAGTTGATGTGGCTTTTAGCATTGACGCTAAATGCTACGCTAAGTTCTTTTCTCTGTTAAACTAAAAAAAAGGACTCAATGATTGTGTAATATTTATGCATGTCAGGTCTCAAAGCATGCTACAACAGCAGGGTCGCCACTGGTACAGCATCACTGTACTGTAGCACTCCTGCGTTTTTGTGTCTGCATCTCCTCCCCTGCAGGGACCGGACAACCTCACCACCTGCTGGTGTTTATCTTTTTTTACCCCCTATTCTTTAAAAACATAATTACCACTGACTACAGCCTCACTATTTTCATGTGCTAGAGAACTGTGATGTGTAAAAATGAATTGTAACACTTATTAGTGAGAGTCCATTAAGATTTTCCTTTGTGTTTTTATTATAATACGGGTTTCACTACCCGTACTGTAGCTAAACCTTTATTTAAATCATTTATGCCTCATGTGTTTTCATTCTCATCAAATTTAGAGTCAATAATAAACCAATATTAGCCCCACGTTCTTGATCCCAGCATCAGAATTTAGTACAGATGTGGTTTTGATGTGAACAATATCTGTATGAGAGACTGATGGTTTCACACCTCCCTGCAGCAGCCAAATTTCAGTTTGTGTGTATCTCCTCACCTAATAGCTTATCAGTGGACAGTAAAATATTCTTATCAAACTATTTTTTTCTCTCTGTTTCCATAAGTTACTCTTGATTATTAACATACTATTTTAATTTTCGCAGACTGAATTGAATGTAAATGCTGTTTTAAGAACAATGTTGATTGTACAGTTTGAACTGCTCCAGTAAATGGGAAGTACTGCTGTAAGTGCTCTATTGATTGAAGGTGAAACTTGGAGCTGGCTGGGATTATCCTAAATTGAACTTGTCTGGTCTTAGTGGGAATTAACGAATGATGCTATTAATAGGTCACACACTCTCAGAGAAATAGAGAGTTACAAACAGATGATAGAGAAATGGAGAAGTAGCCTTTCTATCTCATTCAAAAAAAGAGATTTCTGCTACATTTTTTTGATGTTATAAATGAACAACCATGTATACAGCCTCCGCTGAGTCACCTTGCCCTCTGTATTTCAGTGCTGATATAGCAGGCAAGATACCAACAACATCCTCTACATTCTTAGTAGGTACAGGAGAGAGTACAAATACAGTAAATGAGGACACAAACAAAACACTTTCACTTAATGCCTTGTAGAATACTGAAAAATGTCTGACATGAAAAATATCAAAAACAGAGTATGCATCCAGTATGAAAGTAAATAAAAACCAGTGAAAAATTTGCATGTAAGACAATTATTAGCTACACCACCTGGGCCAATGTCTCCTGTCCAGTGATCTTTGTGATACAGCATGCACTCAGTTGAATGGTTAATTAAGGCCAAGGCTGCCTCTCTTTCATTCTATGTGCGTGTCAGTCACATGTCCAGCAGTCTACCAGGCCTCAAGTCTCAACTCACCCATGTCCAAGTTACTGTCATATGTTGTTTCATTATCTCTGCTCAGATTTCTTTTTATTGTTCATTTACTTGCAGAAAGTCAGCAGCCTCTGGAGCAGAGCTGGACCCCAGAAGTGACGGAGAGCGCTAATTATGGGGTAGGTCGACACACACACACACACACAAACACACACTGAAGTTTGGCTATGTTAAAGGTACAGAGCAGGCCGTGTTACACATCTTCAGTTAGCCAGGATTTATTGTACATATACTGTACAAACCTTGCACACTGAAAAACATATTGATCTTTTTGAGAGCTGCATTTGGCCTCAAACACCTACAAGATACTTGTGTTGAGTAAATATCATTATCTGACTTTACCCTAGTTCAAGATTTTGATATCACACAACTAAAAGATAGTATTGTATGTGAACAGTAGGATATACTGTGTGCAGTGGTGTATAAGTTACATACAATACAGTCAACAACATACTGTATGTACATTTTTGATCAGGAGGACAATAACATTTACAGAACACTGACATATTGTATCCCTGCACCCTGAGGTCCAGGATACTAGGATGTGTTAGTCTTCATAAAACAATACTAATCAAACCTCTTATTTTATCCTTGAGTATATTGACTTGTTGAACCTATCCCTACACAAGTCTTCCTGGAGCTGGACATAATCTTCAAAAGCCTAGTATGATATTTTATTTTCTTTCTTGCTGATAGATTAATACCACTTTCATATCTGCACCTTAAACACAAAGCTAAATTATCTTGATGTAGCATAAAAAATGAAAACTGGCCCGGCTCTGTCCAATGGTAAAAAATGTCCACTTTCAAAATAACCTGCAGCCTGTTGTTTTAACACCTCTGTATTTGTATGCATGAAACAAACCAGATATACTGTAAACTTTGTGAGCTTTATTAGTCACTAGTAGGTAAATTTTGTAACATTTAGACAGAGCCAAGTTTCGTCATTTGCCAAACTACTGATGTATTTGTAAGCAGCTAGTTGTGATATTTGGCCACCTTCAAATATAAACAGTTAAAGGCCTGAGTGGTATCTGCTAATGAGAACTTGGTCCAGTTTGCAGCCAGATGTTTGTTTTTGGATTGTTTAATATTCTTAAACTGAGATGAGGCTAGTTCAGCAACATTTAGAGAATGCAAATAAAACCTTAAAAATGTTGTACATACAAATGGCATACTTACTCTATATATAATGACAGAAAAAAAAGATAAAACAGGACTTAGTCTTTTGTCACTAGCTTGACTGATGACTGTTAGCAAACAGCATTGTTTTGCCAGCTTGCTTTATCCTGTTATATGCCCTACAAAACAATAAGTCATACAGTAAAAGGAGCAGCTGACCTCATCCCAGCAGCCTTTTATTTCTGACTAACAGTTATTTTTGACCATGTTAGCCATAGTATTTAACCCCAGGCGAGACATGTGCTTTGTACATGTTGATTAGACCTTGGTTAGCCAGTCACCGACCATGTTAGTCACCATGTATCAGTCTGCCAGTTAGTCAGGCAGTGCTTGTGTGTGTGTGTGTGTGTGTGTGTGTGTGTGTTGGTCAGTCAGTAAAGTTAGGATTTGTTTGGTCCCATGACATAACCAGGCTAAGCGGATTGTAAGCTAGTCAAACAGCTCCTCCTCCTCCTTCTTCATCTGCTCTTCCTCTCACCTCACAAACTCCTTCACAGTTGTCTTGAGGTCTCCATCTTTCTTTGTCCTCTACTTTTGATTTTGGATTGAAGCAAAAACAAGAAGTTTGAGGCAAGACAGGAGCACAGGGGTGAGTTCTAGAAGTGTGTTTCTGTTGCTTTTACATGTATGTGTGTGTGTGTGTGTATTTGTATGAAGCTGTGTGTGTCAAACTCAAAGATGTGTGTGTGTGTTGGGGCGCATTACACTTTTTAACAACCTTACACTTATGCTTCTTTTCACATCAGCTCGACATACATAATAGAGCAAATGAAAATGTAGGAACGGGAGAAAATGTAAAGGTGACTTTGAAAAGTGCACATGTGTAGTTCATTGTGTCCTTAAACTTCTTAACAAAATGCTTTTACTTTGTTCTTACACTTAGGTTGACTGCTTGACAAGAAGTTTATGTACAGTATGTGTCAGGGCGGAACTTTAGGCCATGTGTTGGGTGTCATAAAATCAGAGCACAGTGTGTGTTTATGTCATTGTGGCTTACAGCTTGTGACAACTGGAGCCTGTACTCCATGTGCAGGCAGGGTGTGCCTTCTTTTGGCCATGTTTGTTTGGGCTGGAGTTTACAGTGTTATTTTGCATGTGTATGTATGTGTCAGCCTTAGGACTTCGAGACTCCAAGTCAGGGTGTGACTCCTGGCTCTATATAATCATGTCCAAAAGCTCTCTCTCTGTCACAAATACAAACACACACCAAATGCTATTTCATTCCACACAGTGATGTAAAGATGACAGTGTTGAGAGTTGTGTGTGTGCATGTATGTTACTTCAGTATACAGCAGTTTTAGATTTATTATTCTTCTCTCACATCGTTAATTACATCATTACTCATTACAGTTCATTTCATCTTATTTTATCTCCAAAAAGTTAGAAAAGTGACTTTATAAATCCTTTCTCTATCCTCAGAGCCACCACAGAGACTGTCACAAACTTTGTGATAACACAGACGTGATTTAGTCTGGTGATCCAACTGTGTGTAGCTCTTGCGCATCCAGCTGTGTGTGAGAGCTCTGCTGAGGGGTATATTAAGAAGTAAGGTGTGTCTGTGAGTGTTTGTGTGCTCTTGACAAAATACACATGTCAGAGGTTGTGTTGATGCAGATTAAGATGAATATTTTCACTGTGTGTCATTGTTATAAATACCTCACCAGTTTATATGATAGCCTGGGTTCAG